GAGTGCATATGTCGAAAGTATGTTTGGGGCTCCCGTAAATGCGAAAACCAACCAAAATCATAAGGAACACGTTTTGTTTGTTGTTCTATTTGTCAGCCAATGTCTTCAACCACGGCGACTTGTGAAGTAGCCGTCTTGGATTTTTTTTATGAAAAAGTGTTTCTCTTTCTTTTTTTCATATCTGTGTACATATTCTCAACATACCGAGCAAATACTCTCGTTTTTTTGTTAATTATCTAAAGAAAGTCGAAAATCGGCAATTCAACCATAGGCTAATTCAACCCAACATTTGAAAATGTTCCACCACTTACATTTTGATTATTTTTCATCTCATCAATAGCATATTACATACTATTTAATAGGATAAAAATTGGTTTGCATCCAACGCCCATAAAAGGGTGTATTCTCTAAAAAACAGTTTTTGTGCCTAAAATGTTATCATCGAAAATGGCATTTTTGGGATTGTTTCTTCCATAAAACAGCCAAATGGCGCGATGGAAACATGATTTTTTGTCACAAGCATGTCATGAATGTAATCGTTACGGTGACTATCATTTGATTAGATTTTCATTAATATTTTACATAACATGCACATTATATCAACACCTAGACAGCTTCTAAAAGGTACAACTTTGAGGAGCCATAAAAAACAAAACAAGTGACCTAAATCTTTATACTTTATAGATTTGTGACCTCAACGGCATGGACAATGCACCACCAACAGGAAACTTGAATCAGAGAAGGGGCCGTTTTGGAAACCGACCCTTTAAACCAAACTGATCTTCAGATAATAAAGTCATCAACACGAATGCCTGATTCTGATTTTCCTGCCACGTTATGTCAGAGATAAACTTTATCCTTTCGTTTCATTACACCTGATCACGCAATTATTCAGGAGAGTGTTTCACGAATCTTTATCTGACGACATATACATACAGCAGGTGAACAAAATATATAATTACAGGTAAGAAAGATTGCCAGATACTTTTAGACAATAAAGGTAAAAACGAAGACAATCAAAGCATATAATCTGCACCGATAAGTATTATAACACAGGGTAGAATTGATTTTGTTCACCATTCTCAAAGCTTAGCACACTTGAAGACAATCAAAGCATATAATCTGCACCGATAAGTATTATAACACAGGGTAGAATTAAGTTTGTTCACCATTCTCAAAGCTTAACACACTGATAAGTGACATTTGTCTTTATAAACGGGCGGCTTTGTGTTATATCATGAATACGATTTGATGACTTGGCGTGTCCTCACTCAGTAAACATCATAGCTGGAAGAGCTTGTAATAACGCTAACATAATCACGGGTCCAATGAAGGCAACCAGGTCATATGCATCTCCTGAACCAATAACAATAGCACATGATAGTATTTTGTTCAATATACAATTCTAAAAGTTGGTATCATGGAATTTAATTTCAATCTTTGAAATGATTTTTTACTGTTTCTGGTATTTGGTCTTATTGAAATCACTAACAAAACGGTGATATTTGACTAATTTTAGCTGATGAACCAGTATATTTTACATATTTTTGGACAATCATTGGACAATACGCCATTCTCAAACTCAAACTTTCCTGAGGCCGCTGCTATACATGCCAAAAACACTGATAAGTAACATTCATGATCTTGCGTGTCTTCAATTAGTTAACATCATAGCTGAATAGAATATGTAATAATTATCAAATACCAAAATAATGAGGGATATTGGTTAAAAACACTTTGCACAAGTGGAACAACACTATACAAATTACATGATATTCTGTGATGTTACAACATGCCTACTGTTATAGTGTAAAATGTTATCGGTAAGGAGCCATTGTAATTGGAAAACAGATAAGATATTATATGATCAATGTTTCTTACTAGAAAACGTTGATAAAGATTCGATGGAAGTGCCTTTGCTTCCAGGTAACAAACACATGCGGAGAAATCATTTCGTTCGCGTATATATTCTACACTCTCCCCGCCAATTTGTATGCTAAGTATATTCAAATATACTACAGAAATGCATGTTCAGCTATCCTTTCGATTCACATTGGTAATACAATGCAAAACAATATCGAATTCACAAGAAATAGTTATATATCATTGCTGTCATGGTCATGTCATAAGCAAAATTCATTGTGAAAGTACACGTCATTTGTTTTTCCTTCGTAAATTTAATTGATTAACAAATGCTTTCTTCATCTGACATTGAAAATAACCATCACATTAATTCGTACGCAATCTTTATGACAGAGCATTTTTCTGTTCTTTCTTTACTAGAAACAAAATATCGTTTGTGTTTATTTTTGATATCATCTTAAATGCTGCAATGTTTTCACTCTCGACTTCATATTAGTGTCCCCATACTATCGTTAATTGACCTGTTTCAGAACATCAATAAGATTTAACTTCTATCTTTTACACACGGATTTCGACAACTGACTAAATGTAATACTTATCATGTTATCAAGAACTGATTTAGTTACACCTCCATGTTAGATATAGAAAATATCATCTAATTCTTTCTATTTTTTATAATAGTTGTAACAAATCATGGGAAGGTGACAGTCATACAGCAGACAAACATAGAACAATACAACGACAGATCAAACGTCTCCTTGCAGATTACGTGATATACTAATGCATGCCTGCAATCATTGCCGATATGGAATTGATATGAACGAACATCTGCTAATATCAATTAAGCTATCCGCACTGATAATGGACATATCTCTTTATAAATGCAAAACATTGCAATGGCGTCATAACACGAGTGAAATTCTAGAGACCTTGCGTGTGTTTACGAAGTAAGAATTCACTTTAAATAATACCACAGTGTCATTTATTAGAAACTTGTATTAAACAACATACGATACGCATGTTTAATATCAATATAAAATATGAAAGATACCCAGTGATGTTATAGCATAATTCCGCCATAATGATACTTTCATCCGCAAATAATACCGATCTGATCTTTGATTTGTCATTGACTGCTTAGGTGCACGCAAGATAAATTTAAATACGCTACCTAGATGAACAATCATGTCAACATTGACAACGCTATTTGACATATGTAATAAATATTGATATTGATCGCACCTAAGATGCCTTCGATTAAAGGGCATGCAAGTCACAATAACGACAAAAAATGTTATGCACAGGATCGGGGTTCGGACAGAGTGTGTACTGTGGACTCTACAATATTTACTTTTGACGACATAATCTTAGCTGGTGATAAAGAATTGAATCGGCAGTATTCCATGCGTCTTTGTGTTTTGATGCCTTATTGTTGACATTAATGGACCGATTGACATGTTGAAACAGATAATTGATTTAAGAATCATTTAGTTTATCTCTATTCCAGATATTACTATGCATATATATAGCTTTGGCAATCATGTTAACATTTCCCTGTTAACCAGACAGTCATACAGCAAACAGTTAAACAAAACAATCAACGGTAATTTGATGTCTCCTTGAAGATTTGTAGGTGGCGTCATTTATTATTATCATCTACACCTGATCACAATTCTATTCAAGTGATCGTTATATATGACTCTCGTTCCGACTAATGAACTTGAGGTAAACCGATTTACAAAAGATACTGTGATAGACACAATATGCACTAGACGCCTTTTATTAATACAAGTAAACACGGAAAGTTATCCAAGCATATCTATCTCCAGTACCAATGAATATAGCACATGGTAGTATTTGGCTCACTGTGCCATTATCAAAGTCAGTATCATCGACAAAAGTGACATGTTTGAATATAATTTTGTTTTACTAGTTCAAGTATTGTTTGCAATAGAATTACTGACACAATGGCGTCATTACGATAATTCTATATGCGGAACCCATTTTGTTCGTATTCATCAAAGTTGTATTGCGCATTGGCATTGCGTGTCTTCACTCAGTAAACATGATATCTGTTCGATTAGGTAAGAACTTTATATATACATATATATATTTGCCTTCCGCGCAAGTCGTTTTGCAAGGTATATCTTCATACACACACCTCACCTTGTCCGTTGGCACAGACAACGCCAAGAATCTATAAATGTACATTGTGTAGAAACCCATTACACCTGAAGGTCGCATTTGCTACGCATACAGCTTTTGTGCACTAGTTATAAGAGAACTGAGTGTGTATTATTGAATGCACATAATATATGTGCTGTTTGTATAATAATACGCTGACGAAAATTGTTAGAAAAGGCCAGAAGCGGTAGCCATGCAATTCAGTTTAAAGTCTGAGTACTATGTCTTATGTATTTCTGCATATTTGAGCTAGAAATAAATGTGAAACGAACTCCATTCCACTTTAATATAACGCAATATCACACCGACAAATAAAATATATCCAATTTTGCTATCTGTCATCACCTACTTCAACAATCAATTTGTCTATATAAAACAAAACACACGTGGTGTTTTACAGTTTCCTTATCCTCCAAAGGTAATAGCTACTCGGGTTTAGACTATTTTCTGCTTTTTTCGTGTTTGTTTAAGATGTATCGGGTGTCTTTGTATTCAAGTCACCTTTGCATTTGTGAAATATTAGTGTGGTCAGCCATGTCTTGAAAATCGACTGTTTACAACCAAAATAAAATGTCCTTTGTTGACTGTGGACAACAAATCAAATCAACAAATTTAAACCTATTGAATGGAACATAATTTACGCCCGCAGTAATACCTGCTTTAACGCACTTAAAAGCGACATTCGTCTTTATATCGCTGGATCTCCCTATCACGTTAGAACATGAATAAACTCTGGTGCATGACATCTATTAACTTAGTTAACATCATAGCTATATGAATTTGTAAATATTGTAATTATAAAAGATACTTTACACAAGCAGAATAACACTTTCAATGTTACATGACACGCAGTGATGTTATAACATGACTGATCTCATACTGATATTATTTGTCGCCAATGAACCATTAGAATTAGAAAACAGTAACAACATAAAATATGTTATAGTTCTTACCAGAAAATGTTGATAAGGATTCGACTAAAGTGCCTTTCTCCAAAGAACGCAAATCTATGCACATATATATATATGTATTGTGTTTGTCTTTGCCTGCAGGGCGGTATACATACTCCCTCCACACAAAACTTCCTTCGAAGCTTATCTAACTGCACCCATGATTAGATCACCATTCTTGTTACCATTGGCAATCCCAAACAAACAGGTATGTTGGTGAGTCTATATATATCCATTGTGTAGAAACCCACTACACCTGAAGGTCGCATTTGCTACGCATACAGCTTTTGTGGACTAGTTATCAGAGATCTGACTGTGTATTATTAAATGCACATAATATATGTGCTGTTTGTATAATAATACGCTGACGAAAATTGTTAGAAAAGGCCAGAAGCGGTAGCCATGCAATTCAGTTTAAAGTCTGAGTACTATATCTTATGCATTTCTGCATATTTGAGCTAGAAATAAATGTGAAGCGAAATCCATTCCCACTTTACTATAACGCAATATCACACCGACAAATAAAATATATCCAAGTTTGCTATCTGTCAGCACCTTTCCTGTGAACACCCTCAATCCAACACAAATAGGTATGTTGGTGAGTCTACAAATATCAAAACTTGCTACACTCAGGTATCATTTTACTACGGGAACAAGTTACGACAGAAATCAGTGTGTATAGCGCAATACGTGAAAATTACGAAATGTTGATTCAATACTTGTATATCATTTAAACTTGTGTTTTAGCTTATATTTTGTCATTTTCAACAAAGCAAGCACAACGATTTGACTGTAGTAAATGCACACCCATTTCACGTTGGATTTCGCTTATTGTTAATCTTGTCATCATCGACTTCAATTAAACGACATGGAAAATACCTATTCCGTCAAATAAATAAACGCTAAGAAGGAAGTAATACCGATTAAATAACAATTATACTATTCTTGTACCTTTGCTATCCAATAAGCTTTCCTATTTGGGTTCGTTTGTGTTTCATCAAAAACATATTTATTATCTGGAATCCTATCATGATTTTTTTTTATCTGTAAAAGCAAATATTTGACTGTAATGATGTGCTGGGTATGTCGATAACAGTATATATATATATATATATTGTGAAATTATGTGTAGATGGCATTTGTTTCACATATACTACGATAACTTTCTCGATGTTGGAACTTCAAGAATCGTTGGAGGAATTATCACATGGCTCTGCAGCGGGGCATGGTGGTGTTCGCTGGGGCATCTGCCAAAGGCGTCATTGGAAGAGCTTCTTGATATTTTTAATTTTAATTTTGGATCGGGTAGTGTCCCAGAGTCATGGAAGGTGGCAACTGTGATTCATTTCCCCAAAGAGGTTGAGGACACGACGGGTTCCTCCAGTTACCGCCCAATATATCTCGGGAGTTGCGTTTGTGGTATTTGGAGTCAAATCGCATGGTGTCGCCCCTGCAAGGCGGTTTTAGATCTGAGCGGTGTACCAGCGATCATTTGGTTGAACTTTGGGCCTTTGTGCATGAGATATTTCTATGGAAGAAGCACTTGGTTACTGTTTTCTTCGAGTTTGAAAGGGCTTACGACGCGGCATGGAAGTGCGGCATAGTGAAGGATCTGCACAATATATGCGTTGGAGATGATCTGCTGCAATGTCCGAGTCGACTGCAGGTTTAGGCGGATGAAAATGGATTTAAATTTTCATAGTCAAAGGTAGTTTGTGCGCATTTTCGGAAGCAGCTCGACGATCCAGCTCTGACTCTCTGTGGTGTGCCCTTCCGGTTAATGGGCGGGCGGAATTCTTGGGTGTGGTGTTCGACAGGGGACTGTCGTTCCTTCTACATATGAAATACCTTATGGCCAAATGCCTCTGGGCACTGAATATTCTAGGGGTTGTGTCCGCACTGGTTAGGGGGTTTTGCTGGATCAGGGTTGGACTGCGGTTCCATTGTGTATGATTCTGCTAGACCTTCGGGTCTCGAATTGTTGGACTGTCACGAAAGACTGGTAATGTATAAAGCCAACAAGGATAACATTTCATCGTAGATTTTAATAACACAACAGTAACAGTTACAGTAATGGTACCACTAACTATATATATTCTCACATACTACTACTCACACATTATTCCTACAATATACTTTATGTGTATATATTCTAAACATTCTATTACTCAACTGTAAAATTAACAGTTAACTGTAAACCGTAGAGCTCCCTCCACAATAGGGGTAATATTTAACAGGATTGTTCAAGTAACGTTCACTTAAGTCGATCATGACAGCACTGTATTAAGTACTGTTCAATTAGGTAAAGTTCCCTTAAGTAGATCACAACAACACTATGTTAGGTACTGTCTAACACATAGTTCTCTTCACTGGTCTAAGGCCGGTACTGGTATTTACTTTGTAATATCCAACTCCCACTCGGTGAGGAAATGCACTGTTTATAAAATCCAGAATATTTGTATACAATAGTATTGCTACATGATCTTTCCATAAACTCTGTGTAAAGACTGTAAACTATTTCACATAAATTGTTACGGTCGACACCGGATAATACTTCACCATGTCTAACCGCTACTTCATTTCCGGTACCCGGTGACCTCAAAAAGGACCCGTCAAGCATACCGAACACAATACATCTCGTGACCTCCATTCCAAGGCACTAACTTCTGAACATGACCAACCCGTGCACTTCACTGGCAAACAGAAGGTGACGTCTAGTCCTCAAACCGTCAAGCTGTGCATATATACCTGGTACCTGGTAGCTACATCATGCTACAGTACACCACCACTTCAACACCAAACAGACTTAAAAACCCCTGCAACAATAACAGGGTATTTTCCTATAGACTTGCGTGAACGGCCATTTTTAAAATACAAATTCACAATCACGAAGATTTACAAGTTTCAAATCCTAACTCGTCTCGTTTGAGACACCCTACACAACCTACCTGCTCCAACAGCCATTGAAAGATTTATACCGCGCTCCGAGACCAATACTAAGTCCGAGGTCCTCCCAACCTCCACCAGCGGCTGCTGTACCTTCAGCTGACACATGCAATATGCCCAACTCACCCTTTCCGATTTTGATATAAGCAGTTTTTTCCTACCAACGAGAGAGCTCCACAAGGGACATATCTCAACACCGTAATATATACTGAATTTTAAGGTGTCACACCACTAACGACCGACTATATTTCATCGACACTGTTCACCACCAGGGTCTCAGGCTCTCTCTAAGAGCTTTTAAGACCACACCTACAGTGGGCATCTATGTAGAGGCTGGCGAAACATCACTATACAGCCATCAAGATAGGATGGCTTTGCGGTGCTCCGTTCAGCTAAGGTCGGATCCTGCTTTTTCACTTGTATTTGATCCGGGGTGTGTGGTCTTGTTTCGAAAGAGTCCGGGGGGCATTTCGTCATTCGGTGTTCGAGTTTCCGCTCTTTTGCAGAGCACAGGTGATGATGTTGGCCGGGTTCGGTTATTTGGAGCGATGAAAGTTCCAGCTTTGCTCTTAAATTCACCCGAAGTTAACTTTTCACTTCATGTAATGGTTAAATCAGACACAGACAATTACTTCTTTCGTTCACCCTTCTCGAGATCGCAGTTAAAATATGAAACATTTCTACATTTATATACTGATGGTTCTAAAGATAAGATTGCCGCAGCCATGGTTATACCACATGAACCAAACGGATGCCGGCTACCGAGCAACGCCAAAAAAGTATCGGCAGAAGCGCGAGCTATCTACCTCGCCATTGTAATTAGTAAACAGATACATCAAATGACTTATAAGTATTTTCAGAAATGTTGACTCGATGCAAATACCTTAGTCTTATGTTTTTTACGAAGTCATCGGATTGCAACAACAGCAAACAGGTCTTATTTAAAAGTTCCGATAGACTTGACGATGCATTGTTACCATTATTATGTACCTGCACTAAAGGCAAAGCTATCGTAGAATGTTTTATTTCTGGACACTTGTCACCTCTTTTGTCAGTTACCAAAAAGTACAAATTAAGGTGAGTCACACATATGAAATATTCTTAAATCAGTGAAACTATGTATATATCTACATGTTGCCAACCTGCAATATATTACAGTTTACAAATTTAATGAAGAATTTAACCTAAGCTGCGCATTGTACTGATTGCTGTTGTTTACATACGCGCACCTGATAGGTGTGTTAATTCACGGGAATATATAAGGCAAATGACATGTATTTAACGTAGTAGATAAAAAATACCAATGACAATTTTAATTATCATTGAATGATATAAGTAATAGTGATTGTCCCGGTACTTCCATTATAATGTATTAGCATAATGTGTGGCTTCATGGTTGAAGTCGAGAGGCGAATACCAGATGATGGAGATATAATCCATGATATGAATTTAGCAAATGTATTAACAATTCACTATGTATATTTGCACGAATTGATAACAGCAAAAACAAAAACAAAAAAACAAAAACAAAAAATGCCTCCTGGAGAGGAATGACACATTATGGGGTTCGAACCAAGATCACATTATGGATACACCCTATAGCTAACATCAACTATTGATACAAATCTTGACTAGAGTTGAATAAATAACCATTTACATGAAATTTGAAATGAATTCTATCAGTATCAGTAAATGACTGAAAATTATGTAACAGCAATCTCATAAACAATGAGCCAATTCAAAACCTTACTCTGAGCCAAATAATAAACTACTCTAGATATTCAATTAATTTACCACTTATTTAATCAACCAATTGATATTGCAATGAATAATGAGAAAAGTGGGTCACTGAAATTCACTGTACAATTCTCTGTCACATTTGTCACCAAAAATTATAAGTATCCAAAAGTTCAATTATAGCAGAGGGCGTAGTCTATACTTACTATACTGCGAGTGTTAAGGCAGGGTCCGCCACCATTTTATATGCTTACCAATGGAATTATTGATGTATAAATGCATGTTTTTTTAGGAAATGTAGCAACATCTTAATATAAAAGGTAAGTTTAATTTTTATACATAGTTAGAAAAATGGACAAGATGGTAGAACCAATATGGACTATCTAACCTATGTTGAGGTGATTGATGGTCATGTGTCTGTAGATT